GACAAGTCCTTGGAGAGGGATGTCACGCTTGGGAGTGTGGAGGGACAGCACAGGATAGGAAGACTCTTGATGAGGTGGATTGATTTTGTGATGAGTAATGTGAATAGGCATGTCAGAGACAGTGAGATTGGCAAGGCATAGAGTAGGGTTTTAGGGTTATTGTACATAGGGTCGCAGGTGACTCGATGGCACATAACAACAACAATATATGACGGACCTTTCCAAGGACTGGTTCCTCCTTGCAACATGTCCAAAGTATGTCAGACGAAGCTTCAGAATCCTTGACTCCAAGGAGCAGCCTGACTTCACCCTCTCCAGGAGGAACTTGTTTGCTTGAAATATATTTATATGACTTTCTCTATTCCCTTGGACTACTCAGAAGCCATGGCATGAGGGATAACAGGCATGTTGTTAAGAGGGACTAGTCCTTAGAAAAAGACATCATGTTTGGAAGGGTGGAGAGTTAGTGACTGAAGGGAAGACTCTGACAAGATGGACTGACATGGTGACTTATGGTGGCCTCAAGTGTGTCAGTGATGATGAGGATGATACAGGACAGGCATTGTTTATAAGCATCACTATGAGTCATAGTTGTTCTGACAGCACTTAGTAACAGCATATGAAAGTGATTTGAAAACCAATGTGCTTTATAAATATGTGTGTTCTTACTTTTATTTTCCTTCAAATAGCAATAGTACACTTCTCTTTAGCCAGTAGGATGAGTCATAAAATTTCATAGAACTGCTGGATAACATATAATGACTCTGTAATTATCTTTTATTGTTCATTGCCATGAAGTTGGAAGTGACTCATAACTGACTCTCCAGGTCTTTTTGGATGTTGTAAATCACATAGTAGGAGGCTGCCCATCTTTCTCCTGCAGGGCAGCTGCTGGATTCAAACTGCTTGCCCTTGGGTAGGTAGCACAACTCTCTCTGCTCAGCAGGGCACAGAGCTCCCTACCCAGTTCTGAGTAGTCATATTATTCCATCAAGTTAATAAATTGTACATTCCAAATTCAAATGTGTCTGAAATTATGTTTCAGAGGACAGAATTAGTTTTAGGAACAATAAATGTCTAAATTTATGAATCCAAAATTTAGGGCCAAAATTTTTGTCATCATATTATCCCCCTCCTCTATATTCTAGTTCTACCCAGGATTTAAAAAAAAAAAAAAGTTATTGTTGTTTTAATTCTAACACTTCAATAATCCAAATTTACTGACAACAGTGAAGTATAAAATTCCTTTAAAATCCTGTCTTAGAGTTCCATTCTACAGTATCAAAGGTTTAACATTCAAAATGTTTTTCTTACTCATTAACTTTGACTTTGCCACATGGCTGGGCAGCATCATGCAAATAGAGTGTGTTAACCTCTCCATGGGGAGTGGTTAGTCTCCTCATTCCACTAAATTTAAATTGAATGAGATCAGTGGCAGAAACCTGGGAATTTCACTATTATCAAGAAAGAGGAAACAGCACATTCAGTGTGTGTTCTTGGGGATCAGAGATTCCTGGGCTAGCCGGACCAACATTAACACAAGAGCAATAGTAGCCTCAGCAGAGATGTAGAGACTGACATGAGACAGAGGTGACTTGGGATTGATGCCTCATGGACCCAGAACGGGGGCTTTCACTCAAACTTGCTGGAGAACCAAGCAAGCGTTTAGATCCTGTTTCCGTGAAGTCTGTGTCATCATTGCAATGGATTTTGGGCCCAGTACAGCATAATAGGCCTTCAAAAACTCTATGCATAGTGGAGCACACTAAGAGTAGGCTAACAGATAAAGCAACTGAAGCCGAACACTGAACTTTGGAAACACAAGGGAGGAGGAACAGCTGTAAACAACAACTAATCATTGGAATGTGAGAAGCATGAATATAGAAAACTAGACATTATTAAGAAAGAAATGGAATGCATAAATATTGACACATTAGGTATTAGTGACATGAAACGGATTGGCATGGGACATTTTTAATCAGATGATCATTTGATCTACTGTGTTGGAGAAAAAAATGTGAGAGAAAAAACAGGGTCACTTTCATAGTTAAAAAGATCCATCTTGAAATATAATATTGTGAGTGATAGGATAATATTCATAAGCATACAAGGAAGACCTGTTATTACCACTATAATTCAAATTTATATGCCAACAACTAGAGCCAAAGAGGAGGAAATAGATGATGTCTACTAAGTGTTGCAGTCAGAAATCGATTGAACATAAAACCATGATGCATTAATAATAATGAGTGACCAGAATGTCAAAGTTGGGAACCAGGAAGAAGGATCAGTAGTTGGAAAATATGGACTTGGTGACATAAATGAGACAGGGGAATAGAATGATAGAATTCTGGACAATCAATGATTTTTTTCATATCAAATACATTTTATAAGAAACATAAACACAGGCAACACACATTGATTTCACTTGATGTGATGCACAGGAATCAGATTGATTACATCTGTGGAAGGAATTGTTGGAGAAGTTCAATATCAGCAGAAAACTAGGCCAGGTGCTGATTGTGGAACAGATCATCAACTACTCATAAGCAAGTTGAAATTAAACCTAAAGAAGATTAAAATATACCCAAATAAAAACAACTTTGATCTTGACTCTATCCCCTCCTGAATTTAAAAACAACTCAGGAATAGGTTTGAAGCCTTGAACTCTAATGAACAAAGATCAGATGAGCTGTGGGAAGATACCAATAATATCGTTCATGAAAAATTTAAAAAGTCATTACAAAGAAGGAAAATAAAAAAAGACCGAAACATATGTAAGAAGATACTCTGAACATTGCACTAAAGCATGGAGAAGCCAAAGTAAAGGGAAGGAATCAAAAAGTTAAGGAGCTGAATGGAAGATTTCAAAGAGCAGCTTGGGAAAACAAGGCAAAATATTACAATGAAATGTGCAAGGAGGTGAAATCAGAAAAGAAAAAGGGCAGAACTTGCTCAGCATTTCTTAAGCTGGAAGAACTGAAGAACAAATTTCAAGCTGTGAGTTGCAATATTTGAGGACACAATGAGAAGAATATTGAATAATTCAAGAAGCATTAAAAGATGATGGAAGGCATATTCAGTCATTGTACCAAAAAGAATTGGCTGACACAGAATAATTTCAAGAAACAACATATGACCAAGAGACAATGGTGATGAAGAAGGGAGTTCAGGCTGCTCCGAAGGACTTGCTAAAAAATAAAGCCCCAGGAATGGATGGAATACCAATTGACATATTTCAACAAACAGCTGCTGACCTGGATGTGCCAAGAAATCTGGAGAACAACTACTTGGTCAGCTAACTGGAAGAGATTCGTATTTCTTTCCATTCCAAAAAAAGGTGACCCAACAGAGTGTGGAAATTATTTAACAATATCATAATATCACACACTAGAAAAATCCTGCTGAAGATCATCCAGAAATGACTGGAACAGTACGTTGACAGAGAACTATCAGAAATACAAACTGAGTTTAATAGAGATCATGGCACTAGAGATTTTATTGCCAATGTCAGATGGATCTTGGCAGAAAGCAAAGAGTACCAGAGGAATATCTATCTGTATTTCTTTGATTATATAAAGGCATTTGACTGTGTGGACCACAACAAACTGTGGCTGACCTTGAGGAAAATGGAAATTCCAGAAGACTTGATTGTGCTTATGTGAAACCTATACTTGGACCAAGAAGCAATCCTCAGAACAGAGTAGGAAAACACTGCAAGGTTCAAAATCAGGAAAGGAGTGTGTCAGGGATGAATCCTTTCTCTACACCTTTTCAATCTATAATCAGAACAGATCATTTAAGAAGCAGGGATTTGGAGTCGGAAGCCGGCGAGCCTGGGAAGAGGAAGTCCTTCAAGCTTCTAGGAATTTTAGATGTCCAGAACATTCCCTGTGCACGTGACTTAGTACTGTATGGTTCATTAGGATCTGTTGTGGCTGGCCTTGGACATTTTTTATTAACAAGCAAAATTAGAAGATCATGTGATGTTGGAGTAGGAGGATTTATTTTGGTGACTTTAGGATACTGGTTCCATTGTAGGTATAATTGTGCAAAACTAAGAATCCAGGAAAGAATTACCAGAGAAGGTATTAAAAATAAGATTTTATATGAAAGCACCCACCTTGATCCTGAAAGGAAAACCAAGAACAGCACAACAGCTGAGCAGCCACAAGCAGAGATCATCAATACAGCTCTCAGACCAGCGGACAGAGCCGAGATCAAGTGCACAAATCACCCAATTATGTACAAAGGAAATGAAGCCATCTTCACTTCTATCACTACCTGTCAGTTATTCTGGTGGCCCTGTAACCTGTACGTGTTATGTGCCTCACTTTCTGAGAAAGTAAATTTAATTTACTGGCAGTGTGTGCTAAGAATAAAACTGTAAAATCTAAAAAAAAAAAAAGAAGCAGGGATTTATGAGGCATTGGGATTGGAGGAAGACTCATCAACAACCTACATTATGCATATGACACAAGCTTGTTTGCTGAAACTGAAGAATATCTGAAGCATTAGCTGCAGAAGGTCAAGGACTGTAGTCATCAATATAGATAGAAGCTTAACATCAAGAAGACAAAGATTCTCACCATTGGACCAACTGGCAGCACCATGATAGATGGAGAGGAAACTGAGGTTGTTAACAATTTCAGCTTGCTTGGCTCCACAATTAACACTCTTAGTATCAGCAGCCAGGAAATTGAGATGAATTGCATTGGGAAAACCTGCTGTCAGGGACCTCTCCAAAGTACTGAAAAGCAACGATGTCAGTCTAAAGACTAAGATGAACTTAATCTAGGCCATGGTCTTTGCAATTACTTGCTATGCATCAGAGAGCTGGACAATAACTAAGGATGACAGAAGAACCAATGCCTTAGAATTGTGGTGCTGGAGAAGAGTCTTGAACATACCATGGACTACCAAGCAAGCAAATAGGTCTGTTTTGGAGAGAGTTAAACCAAGTCTCTCCTTGGAGGCGAGGATTTTGAAGCTCCATTTTACATACTTAGGGCACATGGCCAGGAGTGACTGGTCTTTGGAGAAGGACATCATGCTTGGAAGGGTGGAGGGACAGTGCAGAAGAGAAAGACCCGAGATGAGACAGATAGATACAGGGCAATGGGTGCTGGTGTGTTGGAATTAGTGAGACTGGCTCAGGACAGGGTAAGGTTCAGAGCTTTCTGTACATAGTGAGGAGACTTGACAGCACATAACAACAACAACAGTACAGCAAGATTGGTGTTGAAATTAGTTAAAGTAAATGCAGGAGTGTGAGAGACCAAATCTGACCTTACAGGGATAATTTTGTACTGTGGATATTGTTAGTGGGGACAGTTCTCCCTTGTGGAATCAGTAGAGGTCAGAGACTCAGCTGTCTTCATGCTTCATGAACTTATTTTACACATTCCAACTGAGATGACTGTTAAAATCACAGTCATGACATAAGCTTTTTGATTAAAATGGAAATTAAAGGTCTCTTGGTTATCTTTCACTAATGCCTACATTTGAGCTTATCTATTCTATTCCTAAAGAGTTCTGGTTGCATAATCTGTAGCATGTTGTACTGCTAGTCAAAATGCCATGTACCTCCAGTGTTTCAAATCTACCAGTCACTCTTCAGGTGGAAAATGGGAAGTCTAAATGGAAAGTCTCTTCTTGTTAAGATTTATGGCCTCAGAGACAGGAGGTGTCCAGGACTTTTATTCATAGGGTCGCTAGGAGTCGCCTGCGACTGGATGGCATTTTACAACAACAACATAGGCATTGGCTCAGAAAAATGGCTTTATTCTCCAAGACAACACAAGCAGGCAGTAATGTTCTTTCCACTCTATCTAACTATATTTATTCTCTTCCCCCAGAAGCTAATGAGTTAATTAATTTTCCATGTGAGAAGTGAGGGAGATAAGAGAGGAAGGGTACTTTATTCAAACTTCATTTGAAAAATCTGCACCAGAACACAGTACTTTTCCCGACACAGACTCAGGCACACGTTAAGAAACAGAATCTCCTACCTCACTCCAGTTCCCAACAATCCAGTATGCAGAGCTGTGTTCCGTCGTGAGCTGCTTGTAACTAGAGGCATTCAGCAAAAACCCCTCAGCAATGAGGCTCATTGCATCCTCCTCTGTCAGGACTTGCCCAGAACTCTGTGTGAGATTCAGGTTGGTTGGCATTTCCAGAAGGTTATGGGTTATGGACTCTCCCGAGGGTGCTGGCTGGTCATCTCCTCGCAGAAGGAGCGGAGTCTTAGCTGGATTTGTGGTGGATATCCCCTGAACTCTGGGTGTACCTGTTTTGAGGGGGGTGGGGGTTGGGCTGGGTAGTAGTCCTTCCATCACTGTGCTGAAGGGTGGCCCCAAGGACTCCTCCCTGAGATGCGGTATTGGTGGAGGTTCAAGTGGTATTTGTGTACTTCCTACCACTGGTGAATTGTTCTGATGCACTCTGCTGTCTGTCCATATTACAGGGTTGTTTTCCTCGTTTTCTGGTTGTTCACTGTACTCTCCTGAGCCACTAAGAATCTCCATTTCTGGCTCTTTGGTCAAAGTGCTGTAGAACGGAGTCACTTGTTCAGTCACAGTGTTACTGAAAGGTGAAAAGTCAGAACTGCTTGCTGATGTGGGTACAAAGTATACCTCAGAGGTGAGAACCGTGATTGAATTGGTAACATTCTCTTCTCTTGGCTGGATACTAAGGGCCAACGAAGTGAGTGTGGGCTGGGCAGTAGTTCCAGTGGGAATGAGGGAATGGGAACCCAACTCAGGCTGGGTTGAACTATTTTGCCACTGTTTCCAATCCACATCTTCTTGGGAGGCTGTGGTAGGACTGGGAATCCTGATAGTCACAGTGTTTGGACTGGCTGGCGTTCTGGGACTGGATGCTGGTGGAGGGAGGGGTATTATTGAGGGGTCTTTCTCAGATGGTGGTAAGTTTTTCCCAGTGAAGAGTATATCTCTGTTGGGTTTCAGAACTCTTCTGTTAGAAGGGCACTGCCGGAGGCCACACAGAGCTCGGCTATTGGGCTTCTTTGTCACATCGCAAGGCTCATCATTGTTTTTGGCACAAGTCACGCTGCGGATGCGCACGCCACCACCACAGGAAACAGAGCACTGGAAAAGAGAGACAGCTGTTAGTCTCAGTGGGAAAAGATACCACAGTTCTCATGCCGGGTTTACAAAGATGGCTCGGTGAAAGCAAAGTGTGCAACTACAATTGCTTTCCTCAACATTTGTTTTATGATCTTGAAGTTTTCCACTGAATCTCATCTCCTGGATAGAAACATACCTCTTCCTGAGCTCTCTGGGCTCCAGAGTCAACCATTCACTCCACAAACTGAAATTTATCAGTTGTTGATGAGTGGATTCTGGCTCCTGGTAACCCTCTGCATTAATATAGACCTGTAGTTCACTTTAGTGGCTGGCTTTTCAGAAGTGCATCGCCAGACTCTTCTTCCAAAGTATCACTAAGTGGATCTGAACCTTCAACTTTTGGTTCAGCAGCTGATCATGATAACCATTTGTATAATCTACAGACGACTATACTGACAATGTTGTTGTGTACCACTGAGTCAGAACTGAACCATAGCTGACCCTCCTGCAAGTTTTCAGAGGCAGTTAATCACAAGGGAGGAGACTGCCCATCTTTCTCCTGCAAAGCAGCTAGTGGATTTGAATCTTGTGCTTTCAGGATTGCAGCACAGATTCTTACCATGAGGCCACCAGAGCTCCCTATACTGACAATACAGAACACAAAATTCTAAAACCGAATGGTCTCTGGGCTTCTAACATCAGAGTCCACAGAGGGCAATGATTTAAGCAAGTTATCTAGTCTTTATCTGAGATAATCCTAGGAAAAAGACATTATCTTTCTCCTAGGATTATTTTATGCTATTATTGTAAAAACTTTGAGGCCTAAGTGAATGTCCTCTGGGATCCATTAAGTTAGTTATCATGTATCTTTCCTTTGCTAGGACATAGCCATAATAACTTCGACTCTTCTGGGGGTCACAAGGCTCCATTCCTACTTGCCTATGTTGGAAGGAATCAGACCTGAAGCCAGGTAATGAGTATAAACAAACATGTACGAATATCAAGGACCTTTCCTGAAATACAAGGGTAGGTTATCAGCAGTGGGAAGACACTCTTTCCTAAAGAGCTGGGTGAGTAAAGAGGCACTCGTACACACATTGAGGTGGATGTCGGTTCCCTTCCTCAATGTTTCTGCTACATCATGTCACTTTTGTAGGGATCCTGCAAAGGGCAATCCTTCTTCAGAAATGATGTCAGCGAGGAACATTCATGCCTTCCTAAGTATTTGCAAAGCACACCTACTTGCTATATAACACTACATTTCTAGGTCCTTTGAAAAGCCCAGGCTTTTCCCAAACTGCTCCACTTTTAGTTTCCTTTGCAATGGCACTTTACATTGACTATCAAAATGCTGACCTTTGAGCATGGACTATGCAGGGATCTTTGTAGTCATGTCACATGGTCTGTCTTGTATTCCTGATCTTAAAGCAGTTTATCCGGGATGAAGATGGAATGATGCTTGGTGGACTTTAAAGGGCTTTCCAAGCATCACACTGGGCTATCTTCACATGGGCCTGAGACATTTATATATAGAGAAGGGGTTTTTCTTCATTGCTCTCAAATTGGAGCCAACTCAGAGCTGACTCTCCAGTGGTTTTCAGAGGCGGTAAATAACATGGAAGGAGATTATTTCTCCAGAGGAGCTGCGGGTGGATTTGAACAGCCAGAGGGGTATTGTTTATGGGTTAACTGCACAACTTCTTATGGACTACACAACCAGAGGGGTGTTTATTTTTAATGCTGCCTTCTTCAATGGAGGAAACTGAGGCACAGGACTTACTTATAAATCTTCGAATCAAGGACTGAGTTAGAATTAAACTTACTTAATCTTTCTCCTCTTAAAAATCTTAGTGTAACACACTGGTACCAGGTAACTACTGTAGTTACTCACTGACTAGATAAAAATGTTTGAATATAAGTGGTTTCTTATCCATAATCAAGTCTAGGATAGTTCTTGGGACACACTTATAGGCACATCTCATTTTCTTCTTTTTTTTTAGTGTAATATTTATAAATTAATTTTAATGAACATTTATAGAGATTTTGGATTTCCATTCATTCATTATTGCATTTTTCTCTTTGCTCCCACCCCTCATTCGCTCCTCTCCTTGAAAAGTAAAAGAAAAATGCTTTCATTGTTTTACAATTCCTCCCCCTAAGGGCACTCCACTATGCAGCCTTCCTTCTGGACTCCTGTTATGATAATAATATCTAATCATATATCACTTTTAAACAGTTCTCTCCATCATCTGTTTCAATTATCGCACTTTGCCAGATACTATAGGGGTTTTTTTTTGTTTTGTTGTTATTTCATTTGGTTTTTTCCAACAAATTCAAAGTTTGTTGCAACTTTGCATGGAACAAGTCTATGAGTACCATTTTCCAATACATTTTGCTACTTCTCACAGTAGTTAAGAGGAATTTTTTGCTATTATCGGTAACAGTGATTAAATGATCTTTATGTTTCTATTGTTACTGTCTTGGGTTACCAGAAACAACATCCATATGGGACAGTGAACTTAACTGATAAGTGCTGTGCATATATACCCTGTCTCCTCCATAGTCTTGCATCTCCCCATCTCCCTTCACTTAAGGCTTTTCTAGTCCCTGAAATAGACAATATTGATTTCTAGTGATGTCGTTCAAGGGTAGTTTCACTGTACCCAAAGGTGGTGGACAATATGGACAATCTCCTCCTATGTGACTCACAGCCTCTGAAAACCCAGAGGAGGTCAGCTATGAGTTGATTCCCACTCTAAGACATTGAGTTTTGAGTTAATAATGCTACAACATCCTCCAAGTATTCAAGAGAAAGGAAGAGCCACCTTTAGCCTTCCACAACCACCATCCTGATCCGTCATCAAAGACCTTCACCCAGAAAAAAAAATATTATAAAGACTTGCTGAAGATTCAAATAATAGCATTTTTTAGCAATAAAGTACCTTTATTAAATTAAGATCTTTGTCTATAGTTTTAGATATAATGATATTACAGATGCAATAAGCCAAGGAACAGTGTAAACAGCCAAACCTGTCAATAATTCCATTTTATTTAGATCTACAATCAACACCCATGGTAGCAGAAATCAAGGAATCAAAATACATTCTGCATTGGGCACAGCTAATGTCAAGAATCTCTTTAGAGTGCTAAAGAGTAAGGATGTCAGTTTAAAGACTAAAGTGTAGCTGATCCCACATCTTGACATTTTCAATGGCTTCATATGTAGGCAAAAGTTGAACAATGAATAAGGCAGACTAAAGAAGAATTGAGTTGTGGTGCTGGAGAAGAATATTGGATCATCCTGAGAACTAACAGATCTGTCCTGGAGAAGGTGAAACCAAGCTGCTTATTGGAAGCTAGGATTTTGAGACTCCATCTCACATACCTTAGAGCATGTGAAGAGGGACCAGTCAGAGAAGGATATCATGCATGGAAGGGTAGAGGGACAGTGCAAGAGTTCAAGACCCTGGATGAGATGTATTGACACAGTAACTAGGGTAATG